GGGAGGCAGTGAAGGACAGGAAGGCCTGGCACGATATGGTTCATGGGGTCACGAAGAGTTGGACGTGACTTAACGACTGAACAAGAACAACAACATGTCCTAGTAGCAAAACAGAGTTACAACCCTCAAAAAGTCAGAACTGCATCCCTGATTAATAGGGAGGGTGGGAATATATGAAATGGCAAAAAAAAAAAAAAAAAACACCCACAGAAACATCAGAGGAAATATTGCTGCCTCATATTGCTCCTTTTCATCCAGGTCAGAAGCCCTAAAAAAATTTTAAAATGTACTTTTAAAGATTAATAAGTTAAATCACCAACAAGTTGCTGTCTTCATGCTGCCAGGTGGTAGGACTGAATCCACTAGACCAGTGTTTCTCAACAGTGGCAACTTTAAGATGTGTGGACTTCAGCTCCCACAATTCCCCAGCCAGCATCCAGTCAGAGTGCATACATTGGAGTGAGCATGGTTGCTATCTCATCTCCTTGGCTCCCTCTGCCACCTGTGTCACATACCCTGATAGCCACATGCTTTATGATAGCATGAAAGATATTTCACGATCAGGCCTCTTTTTATACAAATAAAAAAAAAGAGTGGCCCCAGGGGATGAGGCCAGTGGAACTGATCTTATTCCCCTTTGTGATTTGTTGAACGCATGAGAAGGGAGGGATTTATATGTACAGCGATCAACTGATGCCACAGTTGGCTTATTTATTTACCTGGGAGAAACTCCTCTTAAAATGGGCCCTAGAACCCATATATTTGAAACTTGAGATCACAACAGCGGAAGAGAGGGTCTGACTACCATAACAAAAACCTGAGCTGCATCAACATAAAATGTACATATTGCTGACACAACTTCCTCAATTGGTTGAGTTGCATACAGCAAAGTGATACCAGGCCATATTTATACATCTAGATAGCACCACACTATTTCCTGTGAGTTTTTCTTCTACCCCAGATGCGAATTTGATACATGGCCAGCCATTACAGGAAGGGCTGGCAGTAATTCCTTCTGAATTCTTCTAGGTTTCAGATATGACCACAATCCAGGGGTTGTCATCAACACAATCATAAGCAAAAAATATCAGCACATATTGGCTGTAAGCTAGTTATAATAAGTAGCAGCTGTTATTCTCTTATTTTCAGTGCTGGCGGAAAAAAAAGTTTTTTCAGCTGATTGGCATATTTGGGATTTTTTAGAACAAGGGGACATTCTTGCAAAGTGACTGCTGGGAAATTTACCCATTCATAAAATGGCTGCCCTGGGGTCATACCTACTTACAAAGCTCCAATTTACCAGAATGTTATCTATTACCTCCTCTAGAAATTCCCTCTCTACTAACACTGTTTACCTTCGTTGTTGTGTTCTGGGGAGGTGGGCAGAGTTTCAAGCTAAGCATTGGTCTGCAGCTCTTCATCATGTTGTTTTCTAAGACAGCTTAAGGGGTCCATTTTTGACTCAGAAGCATTCTTGGAAATAAAGATGCTGGAATTTTGTACGCCAGTTTCCCATTTGTTTTAAGAAAAATATTTTGTTAAATGGCACTTGGGGCAGATGAGCAGATACCAAAAGAGGAGGCTGTTGACACACTAGTTCCTGCAGGTATAACATTAGCAATCCCAGCTCCATACCTGGTGTTTGGAATAGCTCAGGCCTGTTTCATCCATATATACCAACATTAGGATTGGACAATCCCAACCCCTCACTACTGTGGTCTATATTCTCTTCCAAAAAAAGTTGAATTTCACAAAAGTTTATCTATACAGTGGAACCTCGGGTTACGAATTTAATTCGTTCCATGACTCTGGTCACACCCCGAATTGGTCACAACCCGAAGGAAATTTCCCCATAAGGTTCAATGTAATTACCAT